TATCCCACTACCACTGACACCACTGACACTGCAGCCAGGACAAGCACAGGTTCTGTTCCAGCTTAGAGYCCAGCCTAGCCTGAACCCTGCCCATCCATCCTTTACCTTCTCCAGGTGCACAGTGACTGTTTTGCCATCCTCAATGAGCCAGGAGCTCTCCTCCACCTTGACCTCGTTGAAGAGTTCCCCATCAATGACAGGGGAGTGGCCCTTGAGGCCGACCTTGAGGCGGCGTCTCTGGATATCCACCACCACGTCCTTGCCCTTCAGCCTGAAGCTCACCTTGAAGGGCACAGCCAGCTGCAGAAAAAACAAGCAGATTTGAGGAGCTGAGCATGGAAATCCCTCCTTGCCCTCCCATACTGCTGTTCCATGAATTTCTGCCTTGGTTTCACTGGAGGCAGACAGAGCAGGAACTGTTTTCCCTCATAAACTGAGTGAGCAGAGGTGAAAGGAAGAGAGCTTAAAAAGGGAAGCAGATTTTACTGTCTGGTTAAAGCTAGGCCTAAATCTGGCAAACTACAKCTCCTGGGAACTTTCCTGAGTTACCAAACTGTCTCCCAGCCACTGAAACTGCTGTTTCCAACAAACTTCCACTGGCAACTGAGGTTGCCAGTGAATGAACAACAATTCCCAACAGGGAATTGGCTTCATCTCTTATCAGCACCTTTTCTAATTCCCTGTYTCAGATTCCTCAGGTCCTGGTCATAAAGCACTACTCACATCCAATTCTGAAAGAGTCTGTGTCCATCTATAATTGGGAAGGTCRGCTCCATTGCCAGAGTTGGGTTTAAGTTTTCCTTTATCCTTCTCATCTTCCTCTTCATCATCTGTTCCCTAAGCAATTCAAGTGTAAAGAGAGAAGCTTTTCCAGTTTCCACTGTAACAACAGTTCTTGGCTTTTATAAGGATTTCAGGCCAGTTTGTATTTGATATCCACTTAAATTTAGCCCAAAAATGAATAGCTGCTTCTGCTAAAACATTACAAGAAAAAAAAGCATAACCACCCCCCTGTATTGGCACATTAAGAATTAAGCACATATTTTTAGAGCCAAATTTTTTAATTTGTGTTTCTGAAGTGTGTATTTTGGACAGGGYTTGGAGCAASCTGGTGTAGTGGAAGATGTCATGGCAGGGGGTGGAATTGGATGAGATTTGAGGTCCCTTCCAACCCAAACCATTTYATRRTTSTAAGACATCCCCAGAYGAGTTTTACCTGTTTGTTGGAGTCTGAGGATTCACCTTCCTCCTCTGAGGGTTTTTCTGGCACACCRTTACCCTGCCCTTGTGCCTCTTTCTTCTGTTTGAAAAGAGAAGGAAGAGCAGGAACAGCTCAGCCAAGAGCTGGCACTTTGTCACCTCCTGAGCTGGCACTAGATGGCCTCAGCCCTTCAGCTCCACGGGAAGAGCACCACTGACACTTTCAAAGCATGCACTTTCAGCCCTTAGGAATGCTACAGGAACACATTCTGCCAAGGGGAAGATTCCCTCTGTCCTCCCACCTGCCCCAAGAACAATGAGCCATTTTACCCCCTGCCAGCCCAGGGAGGACARAGCTGCACCTGCAGATGCCTCTCACCTGGTCGATCTCGAGCTGCAGCCTCTCTGCCTCCTCATCTGTGAGCTCTTTGATCCTGGGCTCGTTGTTGGGCTCCTGCTGCCTGTCCCTGGCCAGGCGGGCAGCGCGTTCTGCCTTCTCGCGCCGCTCGGCCTCCTGGCGCGCCTTCTTCTCCCGGCGCTCCTTCTGAGCCAGCTTGTTGTGGTGCCTGAAGGCATCTGTGATCAGCTGAGGGACAGGGGTTAACAAAAACATCAACTGCAAACCCCAACCAACGCATCTGTGATCAGCTGAGGGACAGGGACAGGGATTAATGAAAACATCACCCTGCAAACCCCAACCAAGGCATCTGTGATCAGCTGAGGGACAGGAACAGGGGGATTAATGAAAACATCAACTGTAAACCCCAACCAAGGCATCTGTGATCAGCTGAGGGACAGGGACATGGGATTAATGAAAACATCACACTGTAAACCCCAATGAAGGCATCTGTGATCAGCTGAGGGACAGGGACATGGGATTAATGAAAACATCACACTGTAAACCCCAATGAAGGCATCTGTGATCAGCTGAGGGACAGGAACATGGGACACAGGGGTTAACAAAAACATCAACTGCAAACCCCAACGAAGCTAACTTGGTGCCCTGAGGAGCACGAGAACATTTGCTAAGTCACACAGATGTTGTGACTTTTCTTTCCATCTTCACTCGGTTTTTTGACAAAAAATCTAGAGATTTTTCAATTCAAATAAACAGAGGAGGAAGTGTAAAAAGAGGAAAAAGAGAAAATTCAAAATATTTAAATGTAGCTCTTCCTATTTACACAGGGAATGTAGTTCCAGGAGGTAACAGTGAGACAAACAATTTYCACTTATTTTGTCCTCTGTATAATTGCAGCAGGACGAGCCCCTGCCCAACCCAGCCATCTGAAGCTGCTCCATACACCCAGGACAGCTAGACACACCAATCCCACCTGTTTTATCTACTTCTGATGTTTCCCATGCCTGGCTTTTCTCCAGATGGAGCTTCAAGGCCACGATSTGGAGGAGAAACGCCTGAAACAACCCCGTGTTTTTACACTGAGGARGGAGTTCCTCCGTAAATCTTTTGGTTCAGCCTCACTCCCAATTCTCCAGAGGTTGTTGTGACTCTGGGAGGCAAATCCCAAGGTCTCTGATGCCAAGGGCTGAGTACACAGGCAGGGAGCCAGAGAATTGCCCCAGGCTCGATAAAGCCAAGGGTGCTGTGCACAGCAGCACGTAGGTGAGCTGAGGTCTGCCCCARAAAAGAGCAGGGACAGATCCTCAGAAAGGAATCACAGGGGAAAGATTGGCTTTTGTATATCCCAGGAACTCAGTGGGGGGAGATCCAGAACCTTCTCCAAGCAAACTGAGTGTTTCTGCTTCGCTTTAAAAGCGTGATTTGTTTACACAGCCCAGCTCCAGTGTCTGCTGGAACACAGAATCCAAAATGTGCTGTCCCCACCTCTGTTCCCAACCTGCTGATCCACGGGGAGGAATCTTCACTGCCTGACCTCGGCTGTGTCACTGCCCACACCACCAGGGCTGCTGAAATGCCACCCAAAAATCACAGTGACTTTCCCAGCCTCTCCTTTCTCTATCATGCCAAGGGCTCAGCAGGATGGGGAAGGAGCTTCTTCCCTGTTTGCTGTGGTTCCTTTGGTGTCAGAGCACTTTTCCAGGAGGCCAAAAATCATTTTAACAGCATAAACACCTTTCTTTCACAGGCAAACATTTGCCATGGACAGCACCCAGGCACCTCTGAATTACAACTCAGGTCCAGAAATATGGCAATATGTGCTCTCTGTTTTAAGAAAAATTACAGAAGGGTTCACCTTTCTTGCTTTCAGAGCATCCCAGAATGTTCTGGGTTGAAAGGACCATAAAGGCCATCCAGTTCCCCTCCCTGCAGGTCAGGGATGCTCCATCCAGGCTCCCCAGCCCCATCCAAGGAGCAGCAGCATCTGCAGAGCCCTGGACTTTGTGCTTTTTCTGAGCTGAACAAACAAGGTAACCCGGGGTTATCACCTGCTGTGTCACCGTTAAGTCAGTGTGTCTGGCAGGTTTGCTTTCCAAACAAGCCTTTGGCCAGAGAAATCCTGGCACAAATCCTGCCCTGTGGTRCCATTGTGTGTCCCTCAGCTCTGGCAGGGGCAGCTCTGGGTTTGCTTCCCTCAGGAGCTGCTGCTGCCCACGTGCACCAAATGCTGCTCAAGCAGGGGACTCCTGGCACGGCACAGACATGGGTGGGATGGAACAGAGAACAGTTAAAAGCCTCARGGTTTATTTTTTACCTTCTCTGCTACTCCATCCTCTCCCCCGGTGAAGAAATCCGTCTTCCTCCTCAGGAAGCTGAAGAAGGTGTTCACGAGCTGGTGCAGGGAACAAGGAGAGGGTGGAGAGAAAAGGAGCAGTGAGCCCAGGTCACTCCAAAGCATTCGGTGACTCTGGAGCAGCCTTTATCCTCTGCCCYCCCTGTCCCTGGCTGTGCAATCAGCCCATGACATTCCCTGAGGAAAACACTCCATTTGGAGATCCTGGATTCCCAGTTTGCACAAGAGGCACTGGTGTGGTTTGCATGAGGAAAGGCAGCAGTTTATCCTCAGCTCTGCTCCCACAGCCCAGGCTGCTATCCGAGGCAGGAACGCATTTACACAAGCACACATGCCTATATCCCCTAAATACACACATATTTACCACATTTTGCTTCTTTGCACATGTAAAAGCATGCAAACTCTTTATTTTTACTGCTGCTAGGGATCACCAGTGAACGAACAAGAAMCTCCAAAGGTGGGAGGGGTGGGATCAGCAGATCCCCGAGCACGAGGGGACCWCCATCAGGTCTCACTGGGAAGGATGAACGGGGAGCTCCATCCTGCCCTGCGGTGCTTTGCTCCGCTGTGACCCATACCGGGCACTCGGAACCCTCCGGTAAGGCCCGGGGGGTGTCGGKGAAGCCCGGAGGCGCCGGGGCCGCGGTGCCCCATTAACACCGCCCCAATTATCGAGCGGGGCTGTTATCGCCGCTCCGGGAGCAGCGCACGTGCGCCCCGCGCTCCACGTGCCGGGGCGGGGCCCGAGGAGGCCGGGCCGCTCCCCGCGCTCCCCGCTCGCTCCTCCCGATCCTGTCCCGCCCTCCCCGCTCCCGATCCCGATCCCGGCGGCGCTACCTCGCGCACGCCGCCCTGGTGCTGCTGGGCCATGGCGAGCAGCATCCCGTCGAAGCGATCCTCCTGCTCGGCCGCATCCTCGGCGCTCAGCCCCATGGCGCCGCCGCTCCGCACCGGGCCCAGCGCCACCGCAACCGGAACCGCAACCGGAACCGGAACCGGCGGCGGCGGAAACGCCCGCTCCTCGCCGCCCGCCAATCACAGCGCGCGCGCGCGCCGCTCTCTCCGCGGATTGGGTGCGCGGGCTGTCAATCTCGCGGGAGGGGCGGGGCGCGCGGCGCGGCGGGGTTGCCATGGTGACGGTGCTGAGGGCGCGGTGGGGCC